TTTGCTGTTCCCTTAATAACCTCCATCCTGTCTATGGAGGGAGGGAGGGAGGGAGGGAGAGAGAGAGAGAGAGAGAGAGACACCATGACATCACATGGAAGTGACATCAGCACGTTGGGGACATCGTGTTAAGATAAGAAAGGGCTTGGGGGGTGTGGCGATGCTCTTGTTTTTGGGAAGAACTCTATGATTTGAGGCTGATTTTACCATAGAGTTTTGCCTCAAAAGCAGAGCATCACTGTGCAACATCCCTGATGTGTTGACGTCACTTCTGTGTGACATCGGCACATCACGGCACTCTGCCCCACACCTGGAAAGTTCCCTCCCACCCCCTGCTGGCACAGCATTCAGACCTGGTACCTCCACTGCCCTGTGGGGTTATTACCCTGATGCCCAGCTGAGCAGTTGGAGATGCCTAGTCCATAAAATTCTGGTTCTTGTCCAATACATTTTGACAGCCACATAGACAGTGTTATCAAACAGTGTGCTTGGCTGTCAACCAATGTGGTGTATGTTCTTAAATGATTTAATAGCACATTTGCCTTATGCCTGGTGTGCATCGGATGTCCAGTAGGTGCTTGACAGGCCCGTTATTTGTGTGGTCTGGGGCCCACATATTGCATTTATTCACATTTGCAGTGAATTTTTTCCAGTGAAGAATCTCAATGTGGTCAAATGAGCACAATAAATTCTAAAATAAATAATACAAGAAAAACAACATTTTATTTACATTTTTCTGCAGTCTAGAGAGTTTGTTATTTATTATGTTTGTGTGCAGTCTTTCTTCTCTGGAATTCAAAGCAACACAAAAAGGATTCGCAAGAAATTTTCCATAAGACCATGGGTTGGATCCAGCAGAGCATTTCTGCTGGTGCAAGGAAATCTCAGCATGCATTCTGGGCTGCTGCAGGAGAAGGAAGTAGAGGAAGTAACGTTTCATGGGGCAATTCTGCCAAAGTGGTGCAGTGGATCCAGCCCCACATCCTAATAAATTGTCTCTCAGTTCTTTTTTTTTTTGGGGGGGGGGGATCTTAAAGCATTCATTTCTGTTGATTACTGGAGTAATGGGTATTTTAAAATAAATATTTTATACTAGCTTTCCTATATATGGGAAATTATTTTTGTTGCTTATTAAGCACATCGACACATACAAATCTCCCTGTATTGCAAATGGATCAGTGAGCCCTGATACTTTCTTGTTTTTTGTGGTTAGAAATTCAGGTTCTTCCTGTAAATGAGAGGGCTCTTCTCATTTTCCCTTCCTGAGCAATTGTAATTAAACCCTGGGTTGAAAGGATTGCTAGGCCTGGTAGCCTAACAGGATGACTGTCAAACAGGTGACCTATAAATACAAGTCAAGTGGCTACAATATCCTTCTCGTAAAGATTATATTGTGGGTTTGGTTTCCCTTGTTCTGTGTATTGGGTGGCGCATTTTAAAAAAAAATATTGTTGTTTTGCTTCTCTATGATACCACCAAGAACATGGGTTTCGATCCAGAGGGTTTCTGTGAGCTGAAGACACTTCTTTGTGAACAAGGGAAAAGGTCTCCAATTACTGTTGATTCTCCCCAGATACGGCTTCCCATAACATGTCACTTGACCTTCAGGAATGATTGGGGAGGTGCAGTGGTTGCAGCAGGTTTAGTGGGAAGCCCTGTTGCATAAGCAGAGCTCTACTCAAGCTTCTTTGAATCCAAGCTGTGTTTTGTGCTCAGTGCTTTTAGAAAAGCATGAAGAACAAGAACTTAGTTTGAAAAAGAGTTTCCAAGAGAGTTCTGGTAATCCAGTTTGGTATTGGGGGGTTGGTATCTTGCTATAGTTTGTATTCATTTAGATCACATTATTTTGGATCTTGCTCATTTGTGAAGGACTTGCAAGCAACCATTTAGGGGTTCTTAAAAGGTCAGAATTAACCTTTAATTGACAAAGCATGGGACCAGCCCAGGGTAGATTTCATGTTATTCAAAATGTAGATGTAGGGGATATCTCATTCAGACCTGTCATTCAGCTCCTCCTCCTGACCTTTTGGATCAGTTAAGACATCACACAACACTATGCTTTATTTTAATTTTAGTTAGCTTGTAAAACCAGAATTTAGCACAGTCATCCAAATTCTGTTCTGGGTTAAAAACACTGCTTTTGTTGTCTTCTTTTTCTAGTCTGGGAGGCCATTGTGGGGGGGTGGGGAGCCACAATTAAACCAGCATTTATTAACTCCTGGATCCTGGCTTCAGATCCTGGTTTTGATAGACCATAACTAACCACAGAAAGTCAGTTTGGTGTAGTAGTTAAGAGCATGGACTCTCTGAGAGATCCGGGTTTGATTCAGGTTTGAACCCAGTATGACCTTGGGTCAGTCACAAGTTCTCTCAGAGCTGTTCTCTCAAGAGCAGTTTTCTCAGCGCTCTTTCAGCCCCAACTACCTCACAGGGTGTCTGTTGTGGGGAAGGGAAGGGAAAGGAGATTATAAGCCACTCTGGGACTCCAGTCTCCTGCTGCTCTTGCATCTCCTCCTCCTCCTCCTCCTCCTCCTTCTTCGTGGTGTGTCCTGCATTCAGACAATTGCACTGATCAGAGTTGCTTTAGTTAAGCCTTGGTTTTGCATGATTTCTGAACCCAGCTATATAATCTGCTTCCCATTGCTGCCTGGCCATCTTCTCATTTGATTGTTTCCTCTCTTCTGGTTTCACAATTACACAGTATTGAGCCTTGGTAAGATAGGAATAAATAGGATATTTCAGTGTGGTTGCACAGTTCTAAATCTTGTGTAGTGTATGTTCTGTTGGACTAAAATGTTTTGTTCAATCAATCAGTTGTTTTAGAGAGCCACTGGTAAATTATATAAGTAGTAGAATTTTTCAGGTAAACGGGGCTATTATAGTTTAACAGGCATTAAATTGGCATAGCACTTCAGAAAGCTGATGGAGTAGTGCTATTACTCCCCTCTACTGAACAAAAATCCTACAGTATGATACAGACTCTTCATGTGGATGGCTGATTACATGGGGGGCCTCACGCTTTGAAAAGACATCCATGTGACTGGTAGTGAATGACAGTAGTGGGTCCAACCCAGGTACACTCTCAGCTATCTGTGTGATAGAATAGCTTGTACTGCACCCGTGGTAGGGTATGAGCTTTCGTGAATCACAACTCATACCCTACCACAATTTTTGTTAGTCTTTAAGGTGCTACTGGACTCTTATTCTTTTTCTACTGCTACAGACAGAGTAACACAGCTACCCATTTTCATTGTACTGCATTGGCTGCCCGTCTGTTTCTGGGCATAATACAAAGTGCTAGTTCTTACCTTTAAAGTCCCAAATGGCTTGGGACCAGGGTTCATGAAGGACTACCTCCTCCCAGATTGTCCAACCTGCCAGTGATGATCTGCCTTTTGAGGTAGTTGGCAACCAAAGAGAGGGCTTTCTTGGTAGTGGCACCTCTCCTAGGAATGCATTTCCCCTTGATGCTTGCCTGGCTCCTAGGTTGCTTCCTTTGAGGCACCAAGCTTCACTCAGGCTTTTAGTTAAGGGGTTGATCTTTTAGTCTGGAAACTGTTGTTTTAAGCTGTCAGTGGTCTGTTCTTATGGTCTTACTATGAAAAAGGCCCGTTGTGGAAATAAATACAACGGCCTCTAGAAAGAGGCTCTGGGTGGGTGCCCCGGCCTTGGACACTCAGTGTCAATTTGCTGTGGGGAACCTCAGCAGGGTATAATGACACTGAGTCCACCATTTTCTCCAGAGGAACTGATCTCTGCTACCTAAAGAACAGTTGTAATTTTGAGTAATCTCTAGCCCTCACCAGGAGATTGGCAATGATGGTTCCCCAGAAGAGAATGGTTGGTTTGGAGGGTGGAGTCTATGGCTTTGTACCTGTCCGAGGTCCCACGCCTCCTGAAACCTCACCCTCTCCAGGCTCCATCCCTCACATCTCCAGGAATTTCCCACCTGGAGTTGGCAACCCTATCTCCTGCCCAGCCAATCATCAACCTACCTTTATTTCCCCCTCACTCTTCAGCTTTCCACCCCCCACACACCTGCAGCCTCTCCCGTGCTCTGAAGCCCTGACTGCTACATCACATTGGCTATCATATGGGGGCCACCTCAGCAGCATATAAGGATACAGAACCCACCATTTTCTCCAGGGGAACTGATCTCTGCCATCTGGAAAGCAGTTGGAATTCTGAGTGGTCTCCAGTCCTCACCTGGAGATTGGACACATTTTACCTCAGAACAGCAAAACTGGTTAGAATGTTAGAGGCAAAAGCCAATTAAGTCGCATATGCAAACGACCTATGTGTTCCGAGGCAAAGGCCAATGAGGCTGCATATGCAGATAACCTCTGTGTTCTGACTGGCTATGGGGGGGAGACGAACAGCAAACTGTTTAGAATGTTGGAGGCGAGACTGAGGCAAAGCAGCCAGTGGATAGGGAGACCCTCTGAATGACAGATCAGAGAGCAAACTGATTTTGGAGCGTGTGGAATGTTCTAGAGAAGTGCCACCACCATTTGGCTTTTATTTATAAGGGAGATATGTTTTTGCTGGGCCTGATTTTTTAGTACTGGATTTAATTTTTTATTTTTTTTGTAAACCTGCCAGAGGCAGGTTCCTGGAGAAGCCACATAATTTTTTTCTAAATTCATACATACATACATACATACATACATACATACATACGAACATACAGTACTTTCATCCAGCTGCTGCAGAGTCTTCCCCAATTATATGCATGAACCTGGGTTTGTCCTGTATTTTTGAATGCTTGTTTTGTGTATTGGATGGCTCTACCCTGCTGGAAAACCACAGTGTTTATTTTTTAGTTAAACTCTTATTTCCTGTGCTGTAAAGAAGTATTAGATGTTGAATATTTCATGACGGCTTTGAAGGTTATCAAAACCTAGTCATGATGTTGCATCTCTTTCAATCACAAGAGGGAACAGTTGGCAATGTGATGAGAGGTTTCATTTCATTCCTTTTTTTCTGCTTGATTGCAGGGTTTTTTCCGCAGAAGCATTCAGAAGAACATGGTTTATACATGTCACCGAGATAAGAACTGTGTTATTAATAAAGTCACTAGGAATCGCTGCCAGTACTGCAGACTACAGAAGTGCTTTGAAGTGGGAATGTCCAAAGAATGTGAGTTGACAACCTCAGCAGCTTTATATGGATATGTATATAGTGGAATGGATATATTCTATTGCCTGCCCACCCCCTCATATATATGGCGCTACCTTGTCAGAAGTAATAGCTTAAACATGTTTTCTAACAGATGAACATCTCTTTTATCCTGATTTGCATAAAAGGTCTTCTGTCACACAGAGCAGTGTTCTTCAACTTTCCCATAGCCATGACCAACCTTTAACCCTTTGCCCAATGGCAGCATGAGATCTATTTAACTACAACGCATATGACAGGAAATTACACGACATCAGAGTCAAGTGACAGGAAGAGGAACCAGAGTTATGAATGCTCCCTCTAAGCTGTGGAGTCTTGTGAGCTGCTGGCATTAAAGTTGTGAACAAGCGATTTGGCTACTGCATGAATTAGTTTGCTCTGGAGCCATCCTTCCTGAGCTAAGACACAAATGCCTGAGTCAGAGGCTAAAAACTGTGACCCAGCTCACACTAACTCAGCTTAGAGGGAACACTGGTTATGACCATGCTACTGGGGGGAGGTGTTCCACTCTGGCAGGCATGCACTGAGCATTGGAGGACAGACTAGTGGGAGTGGGAATGGCTAGGGCAGGCCAGATTGGTGGAAGACAGAAAGGGCAAAAGAGAGCTTTTACACATGCATGGAGCATTGGTGGACCAACTGACACAGGTATGGAGCAACCGGCCAGGCAAGGGGGAGAGAGGAAGCTTTTATCAGTCTGCTGCTGGGTGACCTCTTATCACTGTTCTGTTTGTCTCAGCTCGTGTGCACAGATAGGCCAGAACTTGCAGGGCTCTTTTTGGGCAGGAACGCACTGGAACAGAGTTCCGGCTGGCTCCCGAGTTGGCCACGCCCAGCAGGAGCTCATTAGCATAATAGGCCACACCCAATAGCAGAAACTCATTAGGATTGGCTACATTAGGGGTGTGTGGCCTAACATGCAGAGGAGTTCCTGCTACAAAAAAAGTCCTGGGTTTTGACAACAAACAAGGTCAACAGAATAAGAAGGGAAAGGTGAGTGTGGCTGGATGACCACACTTCTGGTAACATGGGGGTGTGGCCTAGTGTGCTAATGAGTGGTGCTGTCAGAGTGTGGCCTAATATGCTAATGGATTTTGCTGTTGGGTGTGGCCTATTATGCTAATGAGTTCCTGCTAGGCTTTTTCTACAAAAAGAACCCTGGCCAGAAGCATGGTGCCTTTGCTTTCTGCATATGTGCACTAGTAGCAGATCTCCCAAAAGTAGCAGAAGAAATTGTCACTTGAGAGGGGCTCATGACACATGGGTGGGAACCCATGGGGTGAAGACCACAGACAGAGGAGACACATGGGTATATGCTGTAGCTCATGCAGGTCAGAGCCCTCAACCCTCAGATGTGTTGAATCCCTGTAAGATACTCAGCAACTCTTGGCAGTCAACTCGCATGCCAGAAGTTGTTTTATTTCAGTTTCACAGTATGAAGACATCCTGATTCCTACTTATTGCTGTACTTGCAGTATTTACAGGTCAGGATTGAGATACTGATCTAGCTGCAGAGTATGCTTCTATGCAGATATGCCCAGCGAACACATGGATGAAATTCATAAGTTGGAGCTTTAAAGTGCAGTGTTCACGTTCCTGTGTGAAAGATAAATTCATTGATAACAGACAAGGGAAGGCAAGCTAAGTAAGACGTCTCTGTAGAGAGATGAAATTGTGAAATTGTTAGGCGTGTGCAAAATCCAAATGGAAAAAGACAGTCTTGGAAAGAGATCTCTATTAGTGAAGATTGGTGAGCAAGCAAATAAACACAGGCGAAGGTGTAGGAAGAGTGGCAGGGTAACCTGGAATGGGGAAGTGTTGCAGAATGTTTCTCTTGATAGCATTAACTACCTCAGCAGAACCAGCCTGAAAGAATACAGGGAGCAATCCTAAGCAAATCTCATGTTATTCAATGGGGCTTACTTTTAGGAAGTGCTTTAGGATTGCAGCCTTCTTTCTCAAACCTAGTATTATATAACGGTGGACACTTGGGTAAGCATGCAGATGCCTAGCAAGGAGCATTTCTGTAGATTTTATGTATACTTGTGAACATCAGGAGTTTTCCTTCCTAAGTCATACACACTGCCCATACCTGGTAGTAGGTTAGACACAGAAGATTTTGTAACAAATTGCGTCTTAATTTTGCTCTGGAATGTGTTCCACTAGGTTTCCATTCCTCTGTTGACTGTAAGAGGTGCGTTTTCTAACCAAACTGTAATGTACACCAGAGAACTAATCTAAGCATCTGTGTTTCTTCAATTAGCTGAAACTCCACAGTTAGAATACAGTACTGTGAACTTTAGATGTGAAAGCAAAACAGATTGTAAAGCTGGTCTTGTGTTTACAGGCTGCAGAAGGCATCTGAAAAGCAAGATGCCCTGTGTGTAATAAGATCTTGGTTGCACCTGCATTAAGAAATGTATGACAGGCTTTGCCTGTGTGGCAGCCAGAGACAGCAGCAACTGCTTGTATAAATTGCCTTGTTACTGCACTGTAGCAACCTCACAGTAGAATCTGGAATTGTGTGTGTCAGCTTAGAGTCCGTGTAAAATATTCAGGTGATAATTTTTCAGTGGCAGGGAAGGAGAGTCATAAAAGTACAGGTATCGATATCTTGCAGGTGCAATAAGGGTAAAGGAGCACCTGTTATTACTAACAAACACGCAGCTTAAAATGGTTCTCCATTTATTTAGTCCCATCGGTTCCACCTAGACCAATAAAAATCAAATTGAGCTGCATCTTAAAAGCATTTTTTGTATTTTGGTTGGAGTTGCTAATGTCTCAATATAACATAAGAAAGTGGCCCAGAAAGAGCTATAAATGCACCTGTTGCGATCGATTCGTGAAGTGGGTGAGCCGAGGGATTTTTTTAAAAACTTTCATTTTTATTCTTGAGTACAATACAAACTGTGTTCCTCACATAGGAGGTAGATGCTACACAGCTTTTTGGAAAGTTTGCAGAACATGCAAGCTTCAAGGGTTTCTCTCCCCCCAAAAGTACAGTACTCAGAAAACAGATTTCATTTTTTTAAAAGATAGCCTAAGACTTTTTGTTGTTGCAGACTTCCTGAGTTGCCAACAGGCCTGGAGACAAATGTCCTGTTCCTTCCCTCTTTTTCTTTGCCAGTGTCTAAACTGCTGTTTCTTCACGCATGAACACACATCTGGCTCCTCCCTTCATCTAGGACAGGGGATCGCCTCCTCCAAGCCCTGCTGACTGCTTGCACAAAGCCATTTCCTAACAGTTAAGACACACTGAGGTAATAAGTACACTGGTTTAAGAAATATTTTGTGTCTTGGCCTCTGTCTTCCCCCAGGCATGTCACTTTAGACCAAACTCATACAATAGTCTTGTTCACAATAACCAGTCTCCAAGCTTGTAACGTCATCTTTTAAAAGTTTTGAACACTGTGTCATAGTGGTTAGAGTGGTAGACTTTAAACATAGGGTTGCCAGCAGACATAGAGAAAAATGCCCTGTCACTTTAATAGAAGCTTAATACATGGAAATGGGCAAGTGAAGTTTTTCATAGCATAGAGAAAAATCACCATGGTAAGCAACATTCCATTAAGCTTCTGTTAAAGAAGCAAGACATTTTTCCTCCAGGTTGTTGGCAACTCTGTTTAAGTGGGGAAGCCCATATTCATATTCCTACTCAGCCATTAGGCTAAACATCCAGCTTCTACAGCATTTCTAATCTGATAACTCTTCTACTATCTAGCCTATATATGGTCTTAACATTTTAAATCATCACTGCAGGCTGTGGAAGGTCAGTACTTCAGCAGTTCGAGACCTGAGTGTGCAGCATGACGGAGTGAGCTCCCGTCTCTAGTTCCAGCTCCTGCCAACCTAGCAGTTCGAAAGCAAGAAATTGCAAGTAGATAAATAGGTACCACTTCAGTGGGAAGGTAACAGCATTCCGTGTTCCTTGGTGTTTAGTCATGCCGGCCACATGACCATGGAAACGTCTTCGGACAGCGCTGGCTCTTCGGCTTTGAAACGGAGATGAGCACCGCAACCCTAGAGTCGGATTCGACTGGCTTTCGAGCAAGGGAACCTTTACCTTTACCTACACATATAAAAGAAAGTCCCCTCACCGTAAAATCAATGCCCAGGCCAAACTGCTGGACCTAGAGACACCAAATTCGGGGAGAGCACTCCTCCCGTGGCGTAGGTGCTCGCTAAGAAGGAATTTTTAGAAATTTGACCCCTAAGTGGGTCAAAAGGGGAAAAATCTGCTCCCCCCATTTATTCCTATACAGCTGCCAGGTGGCTGCCTCTCTGCACCCCCCACTCTCTGATTGGTTAACTGTAGAGCTCAGTGTTCTGAGGTAAAAAACCCCCCAACGGTTACAGGGGACTGTACGGAGCTAATGACAGATGAGGAAATCAGGAATGGCCAAGAACCACCTGTGAGGTGAAGCAAAGCTGCTAGCCTAGCCTCTCTGATGGCTTCCAACACACTCCCCCCACCTCCTACACCTAACAGGTCACTGGACAGGCAGCTGCCTGTCAGGTGTAGGAGAGGAGGTGGGATGCTTACAGCTGCCGGGGAGGTTTGCTCAGCAGGATTGCCTTAGCACTGCCGCTGGCCCAGCCTCCCCAATGCCTTTAAATACAACCCCCCCCAACACCAGACAGGCAGGTGTCTGTCAGGTGTAGGAGCAGGGCCAGGGTATGAATGTTTATGGGGAGATAGTAAAGGACATTTCTAGGAGCCATTTCGATGCGTGCCTGCCTCATGAACCTGAAGAAATGTCCACCACATCACCACTCCCTCACACCAACTCCCCCTCACACCTCTCACCTCTTACTGCCTCCAAGAAAGATCCTGGCAAACGTCGAGCCAGATACACCAATGTTACAAGGAGGAGGCAACTTAGGAATGCGGCAAAGACATTTGCACATAGTACTCCTGCAGTGCACTGAGCTGCGCAGGCCAAGTACCAGCAAGATCACCC